TCAGTTGTGCATCTTTTGTTGCACCTTACCTCAATTCCCATATTTCTGACAGTCATATCTGAACACCTGATGCGCAACTTTGGCAGGGAGTTGAATACGAGATCATCAGTGCAGCTTTGTTTTCGATATACTGGCCTACAAATGCAAAGGAAATCCAAGACGCAAAGAATATCTTGGTAACAGTAGGTCATTGGTAAACCTAACACACAAACGACTCATTAAAACACGCCAGATGCACATTTCTAAACCTCAAGCAGAAATAACACACTTAAAGCTCAATGCAAAGTCATAGGAGAATATTAAGAAATTTTTGTAATTTCTGAAGAAAAGATGAACAATCTATTATGAAAAAATATATATAGAAACTATTATGAACAATCAATTTTGTTTTATATTCCAAAGAATCATATACAGTTCTCAACAATAAGGATTTGTACTTGCCCTGCCAATTTTTCCCACATTTTTCATAAAAAAAAAACTGATTATTTAAAATTATAAATAAAAAAAATTAAAAACTTTTTTACTCTCCATACAACCATCTACACAGTACTACAGATCTCAACAAAAATGTTTTGGACTTGCCTAATTTTTCCAAAAAATGTTCACCAAAACAAACTTATGCTTTTTTAAGTAACATTCTATATGCACCAAGCAGTATAAGTTTTCTTCACAGATAAATGAACCATGTACAAAGCTCATCAATAAGTATTTTTTTCTACTGGCCTAGATTTGTACTTGCCCTGCCAATTTTTCCACTTTCCTCACCACAACAAAATTCTAAAATGTGTTGTTAAAAATCATATTATGCAGTACAAGTTTTCTTTCCTTAAAAAAAAATAACTATTTAAGACAAACCCCATTTTTATTCCCCAAAGAACCATATACAGAGCCCAACAATAAGGATTTTTTTTCTGCTAGTCTGGATTTGTACTTGTCCTGCCAATTTTCCAAAAAATTTTCACCAAAACAAAATTATGCTTTTTTTAGCAACATATTCTATACGCAGTATAAGTTTTCATTACTGAAAAGATAAGCACTCAGCAATAAGGACTAGTCTGGATTTGCCCTGCCAATTTTTGCACTGGCCTCACCAAAACAAAATTATGCTTTTTTTTTTTGCAACATATTCTATATGAAGTTTTCTCCACTGAAAAACAATTGTACAAAATGTAAGAGCATGAAAGTTACGAAAACATACACTTACAAAATTTCAGTGAAACCTCATCTGTAACCAATTAGATCATGTTAACTTGATGAAATCAACAGAATTTGATCACGCACAATGCTATTTTTATGCATGCAAGACATGGAAATACATGCACAGAAGATGGGAAAGTTCTAAGGGGTTTGCGATACGACACAGGCCGGATTAAATCTCACATTCTCTTAAACATTCTCACAACCCACTAGGACAGAAATGTAACTTTTGGGAGAGCAAAAAACATTATGTATATTATTTTCAGCAATCAATCACCAGGCCCTTGAGTACAGGGAACTGGGGGTGCCATGCAGTGGGCAGCCCGTACGGTGTGCCATGCGCTAATGGGCAAAACCCAGAGCGGGACGCCTCTAATCAGCCAGGCTGGGAGGGATCAAGACTGATTTTTGCCACAGGGCATTTAGCGTTCCTGAAGAGGCACGGATGGGCTGGTGGGAGGGGGGTATTGTCTGCCACGGCTGTGCGTTATAGGATTGAGCTCAAGTTTCCTTTGTGCGTCGATTTTTGTTGAGGGATTATGTTCTTTGAGAGAGTTGTGCGGGCAGGGGGACGGAGCGGAGGCGGTGCGGCGGAGGGAGGGCGCGGGGAGCCCAAGTCTTTGTTCCGAGAGAGGAGAGGGAGAGAGGATGTACAGGGAGAAAAGAAAGGCATAGCTCAATGAAGCGAGCATCTGTGTTATAACATCATTGGGCTAGATGTCAAGCAAGTCATGTAACCAGCCATGTAACAATTCAAAATCAATTTACCTCCCAAGAAGGATCTGATCTCGAAGGCACTCGAGAAGCCCTGTCCGTGTTAATCGCTCTGGAAAGTTTCAAAATGATTCTTCTTTTCTGGCTGTGACACTTGAACCTGTGTGCAAAGTCTGAGACTTGTGGGATATTTTTATTGAGATTTAGGTTCAAATTTAGATTAATGTCTAGCTGCTTTGGACATTTTTGCCATTTTATATGGCATTTAAAAAGTCTAAATATTCCATGCAGGCTCTCATTTAATATAAGCCGCATGCATTTGCAGTTTAAAATAGTTTTCAATGAAGTACAGCAGGACATGTCAACTTTCCAAAAGTATTTCATTTCAGCTAAGCATCTACATTAAAAGTGCACAACAGACACTGGACATTAAATACTAGGTAAATGCATTACTTTTGCTCCACGCACGTTTTTGGCGTTCCCAACTTGTTAAAGCATCACATTTGCATCGGATAACCAACATATAGCGCATCATTTGCATGCCTGAAAGTACACTTGAGTAACCGTAATTACACGTGACACCAATTACTCTGTTACTTTGTATTAAATTATAATGGAAAATTCCACTAGAGAATTGGAGCCTAATTGCATCTTAATTTGCATAATTTTGCATATTAATCACATCTCAGATGAATAATAAATTTCAACAGATTTTTTAATTTATGCATAGATACAAAAACAAGAAAAAAAATAATCCATTGGGGGGGAAAATCAGAAACTATTACTTTGGCATTTGCACTGATTCTCTCATTATCCAGCGTCAACGTAAAGTTAGTATGTCACTCATACCGTGGTAACATATCCATACACGTATCTCTCATATTTCTGTGTACAAACTAGAAAAAGTGAGGTTTTATTCACCAAAAAATCCCTTTGTACGATAACAACATACAGTACCATATCTCAAGTAAAAATACAACACTATTCGTGCATGAATGTTACTGGCATTAATATGCAAACTGATGACGAGTGTGTCATAGCAGAAACTGGAAACAGGTTTTTCAATTATGCCTTTTTGCATTTATTATTTGCTTTTTGTTCACCGCAATCAAGACTATTTCTGTCGTGCAAGTCCAAAATAAAATCCAGATAACAAGTGTAAAAACAGCATGCAGAAGCTTACGAGTGAATACAACTTTTTCTTCTTTGCTATTTATTATTGGAGGCACTGTTATCGGAGTTTCTTTCCGCTATAAAATCACGCCCTAAAGTTTGTAATCACTCTGGCGAAGTAATTAATTGAAATCGGAACTGCTGCAAGATTTTTATTATTCTGTTCATTCAAGCCACAGATGTAAAAGCGTTTCAGACTGACAGAGATAATTACTATAATACATCTTAGAAAGGTTTCCGTATCTGAGCGCAAATTCAATAATGATGAGCTGCAATAGCAATTATTTATCAATAAAAATAGTCACAGAATTGAAAGGGGCGGGTAAATCGTGCAGGTGTCTGCAGTCTTGGTTTTTATGCCTCAACCCTGAATGAATAATCATCATTTTCAAAAGAAAACACAGATAGCAGGCAAATACAAAAGCTTATGACCTGTAATCAGCGCAAACAGCAGGAATTTAATGATGTTTTGCTCTGCTGATCACATTTAAGCTTCTGAAACAATGATGTTGTGCACCTGTGAGGTGTGTTTGGGTGATGCCGCTAGCTTCGGAGAGGGGGGCACATTTTAAAGCGGCTTGCCCACCTGTGTCACTCATCTGCATTAGATGATTCAACAGGAACACTTGCCTAACCTGCTCAAATCTCTCTTTATTTATGTATTTACATACATGTTCATATGCATGCAGATGGAAGGAAAATGCAAAAAGACGTTTGCTAGGTTAAATGAGAAAACAACAGATAGAGAGAACGGAGCTCGTAGTCCCAAAGGTTTTACTTCAGCTGTGAGTTAAAAGTCCAAATATACAAGATGGTTTCAAATGTCAATCAAATTAAAATTCCAATATCATCCTATTTTTGTAAAGCACACTAGACTGTACTGTGTTCTCAGGACAGGTGCATTTAAAAAAAAAAAAAAAATCCAAGGTTGAGGCAAGTTTCACATGTGTTTTAAAATGTTAGAGATGTATGCATTTTAAAAAATAGAATTGTTGTTGGTAACGATTTGCTATAATAAAGCAGGCTATAATTGCAGGCTCCATTGTGACAACATGCCCCATCAGTTGATAACGGTGGAAATGTTCAGTAGCATTTTTGTAGTCAAGATATATTTATGTATTTACATTTATTGCCATATCAGCTTCACTGGCTATTACATGTCAGATACAGATTAAACATTCAACAATATAATAATTCAACTTAGACAATAAAGGGTGAGATTTTATTCTATAATAGATTCTTTAAATGTACTTGTGACAAAAATTGCAAAAGGATTTGTGGGTCCATCATACAAAATAAGATAACATTACTGTAGTCAGGACCTTGTGTCTATGCATAAAATGACAAAGCAAAAAATAGCTGTGTGACAACTAGCCCCGGTGTCTCTAATACTATTCTGAGTGAAGAAAAAAAGAATATTGTTATATTTTCCGATAGTCTAATTTTAGGGAACTGACTTCATATATGCACTAAAAATCGCCAAAGCACAAGTTGAGTCACTGAGCAAAACACAAGCATAGAATGTAGTGAAGAAAACACATAGCGCGACATCTGAACGCAAATACAGAGAACTGTAACGACATTCAGACATTTTAAGTGCGCTTTTAGTGTCCAGATAAGTTATATTGTCAAACCTGAGACGATTTAGGTGAACAAAAAAGGACATTCTGGTCAACATTGTGGATATTCACTTTAAACGAAAACTTGCACTGTATAATTATATGTATAACTTATCATAATAAATGCTACTTACATTGTAAGGCCATCCATCAGCATCATCATGCCATCCAGCATCTGTGCGTCACGGGTGGCTCGAGTGCGCATGGGAAACACGGGTCTTTGCCTCCATCTACTGGAGAAATGACACAAGTGATGAGAAACTAAAAGCATTATGGGTACAGTGTGGGTTAGTTCCATAAGGGTGCCGGAAGCAGCACTGAGGACGGTGCGTCTGTCATTTACGAGTTTTACAGAGACCAGATCGGCATTGCGCAAATACAAAAGAAATGCGCATTCGTGATGCAACGATTCACGTCTTTGGCTGTATGTGGGGAACTCGCATTCTTGACCTGTCCTTGGAAGAGGAGTATTGCGTCACTTAAACACGATACCCACAGCCAACCATGGTGGCATCAGCGCGTGCGCCCTCATGCCAGCTGCGCGACCTCTCCAAAGCGCGCGTGGCATCACCTGCGCAGACCGTCTGCGCCGTCTGCTCGCCAGCTCTGCAGACATTATAGTAAAGATGCGGACAGGGACACTAAGGACACTGAGCATCCTGGCATCACAGTGGTGGGGACCCCGGATCCCATCACGTGGATCAGGAATAAGAGTATCTTGTTTTTAATTGAACTGTATTTTGGCTTGAAGTTCAGTGTGGAGTTTGACAGTGGTGTGAAACAGGTTGGTATGATATGGGCTCAAAAGTGGCAACATTAAGGGGAAACTCCTAAAAATCATTTTATATGCTACTACTACGACTAAAAAGAAAAAAAGAGAGATGTACGAAATAAAAAATATTACTATATCACTAATAAGTGACAAAAACCACAACAAAATTACTCAAATTAAAATGAAAACAAATTTTCATTTAGTTTAATGTATCAAAATAATTTAGTTAAACAACTATAGACAGTAAAAACTATTTATAAAAATGACACAAAATCATTAAAACTTTAAAATTAAAATGGAAAATATAAAAATTTTGCCAAAACAATATTTCTAATTTAAACTTAATGTACTAATATATATATATATATATATATATAGACATTAACACAAAAAAATACTAAAACATTAACTACATTTAAAATGAAAACAAAAAAAAAATCTAAATATTAATGAAAAAACTAATTATAATAGTGAATAACAATTATAATACTGAAATAACTCTCTTTTTTAATGTGGCAGCTACATATACATAAATAATTCCATTTAATTACAGCTAATGAGATTTCACAGCAAAAGCGTTTCAGAAATTAAATGAATTCTTATTTTGCATGCTGATTACTCAATTTTGGTTAAATGCAGCCTGGCAGATATATCTGTTTATCACTAATAAAGCACTAAATTGTGATTATGACTGACATCTCTCTCCATAGGCGGCAGTCCATGTGTCTAGTATGCTCTCCAAAGGCAAGTTTAATGAATTGAGAAGTGTGATGTCAAAAGAGGTTGGTTGATTACAGTAAATTACTGGTTTGGCAAACATTTTAAATCATATGAGACCTATAAAACACTTTTGTGTGCTGTTTACAGGCTGTTGACAGTGTCAGAAAGCAGTGTAAAACTCTGTCAGAGGCCCAACAAAGACATCTTGCGATTTCCCTTGATGACATTATATTTCTGCTGCCTGAGGATGTGTCTGTATTCTTTGACCAGAGCAGTGAGTCTGTTCATTCCTGTTATGCAGAATCTTTTGAAATCTATAACTTTTTAAAAATGCGCTTGTGTTGTAACTTAAGGGATTTCTAAGGATAAAGCAGACTTCCAGAAATATTCTCTCTGGTTAAACTCAGACACTTCAAAGATTAACCATACACTCTAAAAAATGCTGGGTTAAAGACATCCCAGTGCTGGGTAAAATAGGGACAAACCCAGCAATTGGGTTGTTTTGACCCAGCGGTTGGGTTACTACCCAGAAGGTTGGGTTTAAAATATTTCCTCATAAATGGCCAGATTGTTATGTTAGATGTTAGTAGTAAAATAATTTAGACATTAGATCCAGTGTGGCAGATCCTAATGGACCAGCAGTCAGACGTGGAATTGAACATCTCTTGTTCTCCTAGGCAGAAAGTTTCTTTACATCACGATGAGGCTTTGGTATCTGTCCAGCGCAGACGTACCTGAGGACCCAGAGAGCGCCCGCATCTTCAAGATGGACATAACTGAAGATGGTCCTCAAAAGAAGATAATCACAGCTGTGTACGAGTAAGTGTGCTGTGACAGAATACAAGAACTATTTCATTATAAAATGTTATATTATTATAAAATATTACATACTTTTAACAGGGTTCCCACACCTTGGTTAACTTAAAATTCAAGGACCTTTCAAGGATCCTCCAGGTCCAATACCCTCAAATTCAAGGACTTAATGTGGGGACACATTTCAAGTGAGATCAAGGTTACACCGTGTTACCTTGTAAGATACATTGTTACAGTTTTCATGTGTCAAACAACTATGCGAAAAAAAAAAAGCTTTTTATTTTTTATTTTGCATTTATTTTTGGCCATATGACGTATTTCTGTTATTACACCGTGTTACCTTGTAAGATACATTGTTACAGTTTTCATGTGTCAAACAACTATGCGGAAAAAAAAAAAGCTTTTTATTTTTTATTTTGCATTTATTTTTGGCCATATGACGTATTTCTGTTATTTATTTGTCGTATTTCTGTTTTGCATAAAGCTGAAGAATATTCGGTACATCCTATACTGTATTCTAAAATGATCTGATATTAACTTTTGCATGGATTTTATTGAAAAGAGCTTAGGCTCATGTAACCAGAAGTTTTAAGATATATGAATATGCTTTTAACTTTTTCTTGCCTCATGGGTTAACATTATCTTAACAAGCAAAGCAATTCAACATTAATTTCATGGTGTGTCTATGAAACGTTAAGGTACCATTGTAGTAGTTTCGTGTGCGCGTGAACGTCATGGCAACATACAACTATGGCAAGCCAAAAGAGTCAGAATTACACTATAGATAAATCGCATTTACATACAAAACGCAGTTTTTTCCGGCGTTTAAAACAGCATTAGCGCCGTCAAATACGCCGCCCTGATAGCAGACGCCACAAAAATGCACGTAAATGGTAAAAACCGCTATATTTAACGGCATAAATTTAATTCTGACTCTTTTGGCTTGCCATATACAACACAAAGTATCTCACGCGGGAAACAATTAACGTAACGCGTAAAATGCACGTAACTATCGTAAATCAAGCAAGCTAGTATGCATAGGCCACGAAGTGTTGGCAAAATAACACATTAGCGGACCAGAGGGAATAACATGGAATTTTTTCCCGAAAACTTCTTGCACAAAATAAATTCAAGCACTTTCAAGGACCTGTATCTATGTACGTTTATTTTCAAAAACGTTCCAGGGCCTTGAAATGTTTTTTTCAATCTTAACAAGCAAAGCAATTCAACATTAATTTCATGGTGTGTCTATGAAACGTTAAGGTACCATTGTAGTAGTTTCGTGTGCGCGTGAACGTCATGGCAACATACAACTATGGCAAGCCAAAAGAGTCAGAATTACACTATAGATAAATCGCATTTACATACAAAACGCAGTTTTTTCCGGCGTTTAAAACAGCATTAGCGCCGTCAAATACGCCGCCCTGATAGCAGACGCCACAAAAATGCACGTAAATGGTAAAAACCGCTGTATTTAACGGCATAAATTTAATTCTGACTCTTTTGGCTTGCCATATACAACACAAAGTATCTCACGCGGGAAACAATTAACGTAACGCGTAAAATGCACGTAACTATCGTAAATCAAGCAAGCTAGTATGCATAGGCCACGAAGTGTTGGCAAAATAACACATTAGCGGACCAGAGGGAATAACATGGAATTTTTTCCCGAAAACTTCTTGCACAAAATAAATTCAAGCACTTTCAAGGACCTGTATCTATGTACGTTTATTTTCAAAAACGTTCCAGGGCCTTGAAATGTTTTTTTCAGATTCACAAACTTTCAAGGATTTCAAGGACCCGTGGGAACCCTGTTTTAATATATTTTATAATAAAAAATATATACATAAAATAATTTTATAATAAAAAATATATACATACAATACAATAATAAAAAAAATAAACATAATGGTCCTATAAAAAGCTTCACATGCTAAAAGGGTACTAAAATAACTAAAATAAAAAAATAACAATTAATTTATAAAAATGACAACAACAAAAAAAATTACTAAAAATATATATCATATAAAATATCATATTTAATATATAATATAATATAAAATATACAGAAAATATAAATAAAATTCAGGTAGTTGACAAGGCAACATTTCCCATTTTCATCTAAGGTATTAAAATACCTAAAACTGAAATAAAAATGAATATAAAACGTGAAAGGGTGAAATGTGAGCTGGACATGTTTCGTGACATTCATCCTATGTAGATTTCAGTGTTGTGATCTTATGCTTGTGTTTCTTTATGTTTATGCTCAGCTTATGTGACTTAATTGCTACCAGCCTTAGTTTTTCAGTCCAAACGTGCATATAGTGGCTGTATGTTTGGCACTCTAGAGTAAATTTCATATACGATTCTTTGAAAGAGTCACACTCAAAACATAATTAGAAGTCAAACGCTCTTCATTTCATCGCACTTGTAAACCGTCTCCGTGAAAGCACCTCGCTTGACAAATTCTCCTTCTCATAGACACAGATTTTGGTGAGCGTTGACGTAAACTGCACACAGCCATAAGTCTGACTGATGAATGCCAGCACAGCTTCAAATGATCTTAAATGTACTTAATGGATTTCTCCCTTATGACAGACATTTGTTTTCTGCAGTGCTTTGATGGATATATAGATGCTAATAGGTTCGCTCTCAGCTGTTTGCATACTCCTCTCCTTCTCTCGTGTTTCAAAACATCTTTCCATCTGTCACATTAGCACGTTTTACTCGGCTGTCGCTCAGCTAGAGTGCTGTTTCTAAGTTAACTTTGTGAAAGTGTCATACTTCAGATCACTCTAGTGTGGGTCTGATGTGACACATTTTTTTCGCACCTCAGTCTTTTTTCTGTTGTGTGATTTGAGTTCTGACACCCTTTGAGGGTTTTTTTTTTTTTTTCATTTTATGTATGATGATATATGACATTTCCCAGATTGCATTGCAATAGGATGCACCTATATTGGAATTAAGGATAATTGTCAAAATTATAAATCAATACTTAACTTTTCCTCCACACATTCTCATTAGGTGCAATGCAACAAATTTCCTGCAAAAAAAAAAAAAAAATCCTGAAATTTGTCGGATCGATAAAATATCTGGTTGCTGTTGCTTGTTGAAATTACAACAAAAATGTAATGCATATTACTATATAGAATATATATTTTTGTAGTTAAGCTCTGTTTTAACATTTTATCAACTAGATATTGCATATGTTGCATAAACTATGCCTACAAGCCAAAGTGCATCAATTTTGAGTATTATTTTAAGTTAATCAGTCAAGCTGGGTCTGAATGAGTCTGAATTTTAATCTCTTTGAGAATTGTGAATGTAAACTCAGAATCGCAAGATATAAACTCTAAATTATTATTATTATCTGACACAGTTTTGACTTTTTTCTCTGAATTCTGAGTTTACATCTCGCAATTCTATTCCACCACGGAATAAAAAAGGTAATTGCAACTTTTTATCTCAGAATTCAGACTTTTTTTTACCTCACAATTATGAGTTTATTTCTCTCTTGTGAGAGAAATTGCGAGAAAAAAAGTCAGAACTGTGAGATAATAGATTGCAATTACCTTTTTATTTTTGTATGCTGTGGCGGAAACTGGCTTCCATACTATCCAGTGTTTTACAAAGCAAAAAAAAAGTACATTAAATGTATTTTCTGGTCTGTAAGGAAACATTAACAGCTTATAATTATGTGTTTGTTGAAGGTTTTATCGTGAGTTGACTGCTGGCGCTGATCCAGAGTGGACGGTGACTCGGATATGGCACTGGAAACAACTGGAGTAAAAAAATAGAAATAACACACACAAGACCCCTCAAAATTCACTTCACCAGACTAAAACCATGTTTTCACTTTATGTTAATATCCATCCTGGGTGATTTGATCACAAATGGTCAGGTGAGGAACATCAATGTTTACAGCTGTTAGTAATGCGTCTCAAATGAGTCTCTTATGATTGGATTTCAAAGGGAGGGTCTCTTAACACAGTTTAAAACCCATGTTGTAGTGCAGTGGTTGATTGACAGGTGAGTAGGCGCTTCACTGTTGCTACCATAGATGTGCATAGGTAGATTCCCCATTCGACTGCACCAAGCACATAGACGTGTCCGCTGTCTTTAACGGTCAACTTGATGTCATTTACCATAATAATCGATGGAAATTCGAAGATGCCACAATCCTGCACAGCCGAGGTTTTAACTGCCGGGATTGAAATTCTTGAAGAAGCGGGATAACCTTTCACAGGTGGTTTGTGTTTTTAAATGTATTAACTCAATATTACAAGTTTTGAAACATTGGTAACTTATGTTACTGTTATGGTGAATGACGTCAAGTTGACCCTTCGAATATGGCGGACGGCTTAAGCATAGCGGCCCATAGAAACAGTCGCTAATGAGGCATCTACGTATACATATCTATTGTTGCTACAATATCACTTCACACATTCTGACTACAAATGTGATTTAAGTGATCGGATCACAACGTGTTTTGGATCCAGTCCTGCACTTTATGTAGTGTAGCACTGACCACTTGTGAATGGATCATCTGAAACAGATCTTAATTCCAGGTATAAACGAGGTCAAAGAATCACTCCCATGTTTCTCCAGCAAAGTCACCTTAACATCCACAAGTAACTGATTGTATTGGAGCTCACATGGGTCCAGAAACCATTGGATAATTCAATTTTAAAAAAGTCGTTTTTTAAGTTATGGCATTTTTATTGTTGTTGTTTTGAAAAAAAAAGTTCAGTTCAATTGAAATAATGACATTGTAACTGTATTGCATAAAGGTAATGAAGCCATTTTTCTGAACCATTAAGATTTTCTGCATTTTCTTAACAAATAAGCATGTTTCACAACCAAATTGTCTATAATGTGGACAACATTTAATTCTCATCACTGTAATGCAATAAAAAAAAAGACCTGTCAGGATGCAATGATTTTTTTTTTTTTATTAAAAATCAGTGTACAATGAACGTATACAATGGGAATGAGATAAGATGGGTTTAAATGTGCCTTACTGTCATAAAACAAATCTCACAACAATTCAAAACATCTTAAAAACAGGCTTCATTTACTTGGCCTTTACAAAACATCTATGTTGATACTGGTGACTTTAATCTATTTTAAAAAATTGTTACAGTGTTACAGATGTCCTTGGGTCATGTGATTAATTAGAGCCAAGGTTTGTTACAAAAACAATTTCTGTCAAATCTTGATCTAATGCACTTCCATTAAGTAGAGACTGAAATTAAACCGATATCTCAACAAAACAAAACTTTTTTTTTTTTTCAGATCAAGCAGATCATAAATGAGATTCTAACATTTCCGACAAGATAAACAACCACAATTAATTATGATATTTGATACCTTCAGATCATGGAGAACCACAGATGGTTGTTGAGACCAATTATCACCTAATTTAGATATTAAAATAAATCCTTTGTTAAACTGACAGGAAGATGTTCTCACCCATGCGTGGATGTCATCCTATTTCTGTGGAAAACTCTTTTATGGCATGTCATTGTTTATGCATTCGTGGCTTTACAGGGAGTCATCAAATTATCATTGACTGAAATTCATTAAATCATTTAGAAATATGGCTGTGGGATTATTATAATTTTTGCAGGCAGTAATGGATTGTTCTGTTCAACTTGCGTGGGTGTTTTGTCACATGTGTGCAAACACGTCATAATATGATTAACAGTGGATATCATACCTCCTGTTTCAATTGAAATAAATATGTTAATACCATATTAGGCAATTAATCACGCTGGCTTCATCTACAAGTGAACTGAACAAAAGAAAATAAAAGCATTAATGTGCTTTACAAAGCTATTTTGCACTCCTCTAGGCATTTATCATGGATTAGGGACTCTGCTGTTGTTTTTATTAATCTGTTTATTTTACTAAACATTAACTCATATTTATGATGCGTTATATTGATGTTGCCAAATAAGGCAGATGAATTCATCTCTGTACTGTATATTTGCATGTGCTTTTAAAGTCAACATGAAATGCAGCTCAAAACCCATTTTACTTCTGTAATCTGACGTATTTTCAAGTGACAGGATAGGCAAAAACGTTGGGCAGGACTTTATTAGAACTATAGAAAATGGATTGGATTGTGAAAAGCAGAAGGGCGTGTATTAATAAAGTAAAGAGTTTCACGTTCAATGTATCGCAAACAAAAGAGATTGAGATTTACTAGTCCAAAAGATGTAATAATTTACCCGATAACCAGCAAAGGAATATGTGTATACTAATATCCAGGTGGCAAATAACCATTATTATCCATAACAGATAACAACACTTGCCCAAACTGTATTTGGTACAGCACACACACACAGAGACTCCCGCTTCTCATCAGTGTCTGATAAAGTCCTTTGGGAGAAAACGGTAATTGACAGCAATCTCCATCTCTCTCAAATTCTAAATGCAGCATACGTCCTCTAAGTAAACTCAATAATGTTATCCTGGGAGGCAAAAATTCATTACTAAGCTGAGCTATTATTACGTTACGTTGAGGGCACTTCTTATTGCAGTTAGGCCCTTTACAGCACTTTGCTTCATTTGACAAGAGACTAAATTAAACAAAAAACATGGCCAGAATCACCGCCGACCCAATAATGGATCTGAACTAATAAAATACTGCAGATGCAGAAGCCATGAGGGTCTGAACTCACTTTACTGTGTAGTAATGATTACTAGTTTAGTGTGTCCACACTGATTATTGTTCAAATAAAACAAGCCTTTCCGGAGGCAATCTCTGCATTTATCTTATTACTGAAATAATCCCTTGGAAGGCACCTAGAGCTTTACCTCACCTGCTTTTACTTGTGTAACATTTTTTTGATGTTACTTTCTCCTAAATGATCTGAATGAAGGCAAACTTTGAATTATGGTGTCACCAGGGTTTTCATAGTTAGCTAAAACTTAAACTAAAACCACATAAATGTTGTTATTTGAAATAAACTAAATAAGTAATAAATGAATATTAATTATGAAGACAATTATGAATAAAGTTAATCAAATATAGACAAATAAGCATGACAGAAACACTGATTTTAGGTTTAATTTGCCCGTAGTTCACGGAGAACATTTCGAAAGCCTTCCACACATACGTCACCAGCAGGATGTCTCATGGACGCCAACTTCCACGCCTCCTCAAATGTCTCCTCAGCAACGTCGACAGCCACTTTTTGGAATATCTGTGCGATCTATGAGTGATATACAATATATCTTTAGTCCATATGTAATAATTGTTTGGACAGCTTAAAACCCCTTTAAAGGGGATGTCTAATGCCATTTCATGACACATTTACACTGTTAAAGAGTTGGATTCTCATGCTAAACATGACCAAAGTCTCAAAAAAAAAAATGAGGTGGACGTATGACGGAGTATTTCTGTGCCAAATACACTTCTTCAGGGTTCGTATAAGTTTCAGAAAGTGTTTTTTTTACAAGTATGGCCCTGTATGACGTCATAAAAAGCAGAATTCTTTATATGGTCACTTCTCCCGGAAGAGCTGTATCTGTCTTTTATAAATCTGATCAAACTGAAGACTCTTCGGAGATATGAAGGATGCAATACTACTCTATAAGTACTCAAGTTTAACATGAAATTGACTAAAACGGTGTGTTATGTCCGCTTTAAATCATAATGCAACATCACTGTCATCCAAAACTCACCTCATCTTTCGTGCGAGGACTAAAAAACTCTTTTTCATGGACTCCGTAGAGGGTATGCAGAGGGGGGTGCAGCAGATCATGTGCTGTTGCTTCATCTCCATAGTTTGTCCTGTCACTGATGCGTTTGATACATGGAGCAGGTAGATCAGTCCGTACTGTTGGTACTCCGTATGTGTGATCATCTATTAATGGGAATCGATCAGAAAAACGGCACAACTTTCTTCTTCTAGTTGTGCAATATTAACCCTGTAAATCCTGACATGAAAAAAAACTTTTTTTTTTAATGGAACAGTTCATTGAACTGTATGGTATAGTGAGATATAGAGAAAAAAAACTGAATTACCAAAAAGTAAGATACAATTCTGATGTCTGTTATGTAAATCAATGAGATCTTTATAACATATAGCAGACTACTTGCATAAAATGCATATACAGTAAATATTAGTTTAGTAAGATGATATTTAAATGCTTAGTTTTATGATCAAAGTTCTGTATTTTTTATTGTTGGGGCAAAACATATAATGCAATGCAATGCAATACAATGATGACTGAGAGTTGAACAAATAAATGTTCCTCAAAAGCCTGATGGATCATATTTGAAAAAAAATGATGTATTGATAATCAATAAAAAAAAGTTGCTTAAATCCAGAAAATGTTCATCCTGAAAATTAAAAGTAATTCTGACGTTTACCTGATAAATTTCAGTAAAGATTCCACAGCAGAAAGACACGTGAAGCACGAGTTGAAGGTGGACGGTTGTACAAAAGTTTATTCTAAACTATCAATTAGATGACAGAAGTCATGTAGTAGATTGTGTGCAACAGGTTTATCAAGTTTTGAGCATATTGATAATTTAGAGGCTTTAGAAATTTCAAATATGATACAGTAGGCTTTAAAAGGTTAATCAACACCTTGAAAAAATGCATGGAGGTTATTTAAGCTTTGTGTAGCTTGAATACTTGGGCAGTTTAAGAGGATTCAAAGGTTTTGTGTGAGACTCACCGGCAGGGGAAATTCCACCCACAACAGCATTTATGAGAGAAGACGAGGTGAAGAAGTTGTTCTGCACTGTTCTGGGCCTGGACAGGGTTTTTGGAGTCTTCCTGGTGCTTCCCACCTCAACACGTTCCAGATCTTCAGGTCTAATCAAAGGCTTCACGGCGCTGGATTCTTGGAGGTCTGTGCGTTGCATGTTGGCAGGGGCTGTCCGAGCCATGCGCTCTAGAAGGCACAAGAGATACATTAACATCTAAACCTTGAACCAAACCAATTAGCTCAGAGACGAATCAAAACATTGATTTGAAGTAGAAGAGTATTTGAAAAAACATAAAATGTCAAAAAACTTTGTGCTTGAATTTTTATGAGGTTTTGGTAGATCGGTCATGACTTTAGAGACCCTGTGAGCAAGTACACTTGAATTCACCTGCTGTGAGAATTTTCTGCTCCACCCTGTTGATTGGCATTTTGTCTTTCCAATTAAGAAAATTGGAAAACTCCTTGAAGTCGATCAGTCCGTTGTTATCAACATCACAGTAATCCATGAGGTCATCAAGCACCGGGTCACTGATGATCATATTAAACTGGTGGCAAGCTTCCTTCAGATCCTCCCTACTGATTTTCCCTTGACCCTTCTGCAACACGGGACAGACAATTGCAACAGGTAATCAGAAAAACGAAAAATCTATTTTAGATTTTTTGCTTTATTAACTTTTCAGCATGCTTTTCTTTATAAACCAATGGCTAACCATGGTGAAATTCTTATAGCTTGTAATGTAAATCAATGAGATCTTTACAACAGTACAGCAGACTACTTACATAAAATGATATAAATATCAGTTGTCATTATATATCTCTCAATAATACTGCATGTCTTAGTAAGATGATACTTAAATGCTTAGTTTTATGATAAAGCTCTGTAGTTTCAAAACATATAATGCATGCAATGCAATACAATGATGACTGAGAAATGAATTAATGTTCCTCAAAAGCCTGATGATCATATTTGATACTCGCATTCAAAC